GGTAGGTGGGCGAGAGGAGGGGGGGGGGGCGGGGGGGGGGGGGCGTACTAACCGTGGGGGGGGGGGGGGGGGGGGGGGGGTTGAACCCCCAAAACCCCCCCTATATACGCCACTGTTAATACGTCGTATCATGTAATAATAATCACTTCATCGGTACGACTGACACAAAGAACACGACGCCGTGTATAAACAAATAATCTACGCAAATGTATATTTCTATTGTATTCTTCTGTCGAACACCCTTTACCTTATTATTATTTGTTTTTATTTTGTGGTATTTTTAGTATTACAATATAGCCCACGTGTTTATACATGTGATCTAATAAATTTCATTGTACTGGGATTTTTACGTAGAAAGAAAAATATTTAATTAATTAATTAATATGTGTACTCCTAATATCAATTGTCTCAATCCGTCACTGACTTTCATACTAATACTAAACAGATATGTATATTGCCGTGATTTCAGTAATATTTTTATCGGGTAAGATCAACTGCCAATACGGTTTTGACGCGTTTTATTTTTATTTTTCTACAGTCCAAAACAAAATAAGAATAGCACGTGACATTACATTATATTCTTTTGAGATTGCCGTCTGCCAAGGATGCAAATTATTTAGATTTCATTGTACTGGGATGCTATCCGCGGGCCATAAAAAAATGCATTCTAAATTTTTTTTTACGTAAATGCAAAATATTACAGTTATACAAATAAGTGCTTTAATATAGAAGACTTTCTCGGGCCAGATATTAAATGATGGCGGGCCGGAGTTAGCCCGCGGGCCTTAGTTTGGCCACCACTGGTTTAAATCATACCTAAGATATAAAAAAATTAATAATATAACACGAATACATACATGTAATGCTTTATTTGCATTATACAGTATTTTAACTATAAAAATTATATTTAGATATTGTAATATTATAAAATGAATTTCAAAAAAGTATTGAACTTTTGTTACATAATTATGTAATTTGAATATTAAATTTAGAATAAACATACGGTTTTAAACGATAAAAATAATTAAAAATGATTAAATCAAAAAAAAAAATTATACAATAATAATAACAATTTATAATAATTTTTATTATTACTTAAATATTCTTAATAATATACATTATTTATTAATAATACATAAGTTTCTAATTAGAAAAATAGCTGATTTATTGTTTAAATAAATATAATACTCATTCTATTTTAGTAGTTCAAAGTTTTATAAAAATTATAAATAGCTGATAAATATTATACAGAGATTAATAAATTAAAAGTTATTTTATACTACATAGTTTGTAAAAAATTGGGTTTCATACTTACGTAGTCTCTTTTAGTTTCTTTACACACATTTATATATAATTAAAATTATTATTAGTTATCGCCACAAATATTTATTTGTACATTTGGTATACTGTGTTTATAAAAATACTAGCTTATAAATAAATACAAATTATCTATACTTCTATAGTTCAATTATATTTGATTAAAAAAATAATTATTGTATGAAAATTGTTTTAAAATAAAATGTATTTTCACATTTAATTCAAATAATTATGACAGTAAATAATAATAAAAAAAATTAATTAGTAAGTTGTTTTTATGCATGTGATTATTTTTTATTTTTAAATATATAAGTATAACATACATGTTAATAATTCCAATAATAAAATTAATAATAAGTAATATTGACAATAATATAACAAAAAAAATCACGTATACAGATAGAACACTCAAATAGGAAAAAATATAATGGACGGATTTACATGAGAATTATTCTCATTTGAAAAAATGTATTTCATATGAATGAAAAAATAATAATCAATTTTACACATCATTAATTATGAAAACAAATAAGTTTCTATCAATATTTTTCCTTTGGTTGTGGAATACAAGTATATAAAATATACTATAAATTTTAATGCATACAAGTCATAAATAGTATGTTTAAATACTAAAAGACAAGTTTAATTTACATGTCCCTATTGATAAATTATTTATTTATAATAAATTAAAAAATGGTCTATATAAGTACTTTTGGAATTTATTATTTGGAATATTCAGTCTACATTAAATATTTATTAAACAAAAATTGGAATGATAGGATTAAAACTGTACTGTATAAGATAAAAAATAATTTCTAATGATGGTAAGAATTATTTTTCCGAGATCAGAGGGAAAGAAATTAAATTGTCAAATTTTATTTCAAGTTTTTCGGTCAATATAAATTTACCATTTTATATAATGAAATGAGCATTTATAAGAAAAAAATATATTAAAAGTTTCACCATTTAATTGTCAGCACAATAGACATTTTAATATAAACAATAGTTTTAATTGTTTTTTAGAATTTAATGTTATAGACAATTTTAAGTTGTAGATTATATATGGCATATAATTGTATTATTATTTCACCCTGTAATATTATAGTATTGACGATTAGAGTTTAACTTTTTATAAACTACACATACTTAACTACAACGATAAACATTTTAAAACATGAAGTGGAAGACAAATGATCTGTATTAAAAATAAAACTACATATAGTTTTATTCTTTTGGAATGCTGATGGAATTCTTTTGGAGTTATCCTACCAACTAATAATAGCTACTCTATAAGCTGGATTTTTGAAGACACTTAGTTTGTAACTTAAAAATACAAAATGAGTAAATGTTATGTATTCTTCTCTTGTTCTATAGTACTAGTAGAATCATTGGCTACCTGTAAACTTAATCCTGCAGTTAAATCTACTACTTCATCTTGGTCATCTTCTTCGGAGGTATTAACTGTAGTAGCTGCACTGTGAGCCGATTGTTGTGATCCACTTGATAGCTGTGACGTTCTTGATAGCGACCCACGTCGTGGTGCTAACATTGTGGCTCGCTGATTAGCTGGCTTCACAGTAACAATTAGATTATGACTGTTGGCTACCATCATATCAGTGACCTAGAAATAATAATATATAAAATAATTGATAGTTGAGCTACTATATAATTTTCTTCAACTTGAATGTACCTGATCTAAAGTTTTTCCAACTACTTCAATACCATTTACTTCTAAAACTTCATCATTAACAGCTAATAGTCCAGTACTTTCAGCTAAACCACCAGGGACCAATCTGGATATGAAAATACCAGGAACCTTTTCTACACCAGAAGGACTAACTCGGACACTGGTACCATCTCTAATATAAAAACCTAATGGTCGTTCAGAACCATGTTTAAGAAGTCTAACTCGTCTACAGGTCTCTGGAACTACATCTACATCAATAATAGCAGATACCTAAAACATTTAAGAAATTAATTTAAAATATTTTAATCTGATAAAAGAAAGATTTTACTTGTCGAAAATCCTGAGGATTTGATATCCAAAGATGTTTTGCTTTACTAGGTGTACCACCCAAAATTGATGATATAATATTGCGAGGTCTATAGGTACCATAGCCATTTAATTCTTCAAGACTTTCACCTGAAATTATAAAAAAAAAAATCTATAAACACATTTTTTATAATACACATATTTCAATTATTAAACATTGCTAGATAGGATTAGGTTAGGTTAGGTTAGGTTAGAAAAATATCCATTGATAATACCCACTGAATACTTAAATTAGATCATCTATAAAATATGAGGTATACTTTATTTTTTCTTTTTGAATTGTTTTAGTTTAAAAAAAAAGTATAAAATTTAAAAATTCATGGGATAAAAATATTTGTCTATTACATTTTTACTGATAAGATTTTATTCATTATTATTTAAACATAATAAATAATAAATAATCAATGCAAGGAATTTTAAAAAGTGAGACAGTATAAGCATTATAAATACAGCGAAGAATCCAAATCTGTTTTCAAAATTGACAACGGAACATCCAACTGAACGTAGTAATTGATGTCATCGGCAATATTTTTCATAAAAAAAATATTTGTAATTTTGTTTCATTGTTGTCGTGATTAATATTTGACATGTGCATGCGTGTAGGTGAATTCACTTTAATAGCCTGACAATTTAATCGATATTCTTCCGGGAACTAATCATAAAATAATTATTATAGACGTCAGACTTTTAATGTAATTCTAATGAGTGATGGGCAGTGGCGGACGCAGGGAGAGGTTTTGGGGTTCAACCACCCCACCAAATGAATGGATGATTAATTTCAAACGTAGTTATCCTACCTTATGTAACTTAAAAAAAATGAATTGTTTGAAATACGATTAAAATATGCTAGAAAAAAAAATGTTTTGTTAAGATAAGTGAATTTGTAATTTTCCAAACGTTCTAAAAGGTATTGGTACTTAAAACTCAAATTTTTGAAATTCCATGATGGCAATATTTCGTAAAAATAATGTGTTTGTATGTCGCTTATTATCAGTAAATAAAAATAAGTAAATATACGTAATCAATATATTATTTACAATGATACATTATATGCAATATAATGATTGACGGTTTCCTTAAATGTTGTGTTGTATAGTCATGTGATAATAATCGATAATAGTCAATTATTTCAAAATAACGGTAATCAGGCCCGTATTTAGAGAGGGCACGGGTAGGCACATGTCCAGGGGCGGAAAAATATTTTAGTAAAATTAATTTTAAATATGATGTACCTAATGAAAAAAAATAAATAAAATCATAAAAAAAATAAAATAGTATGTTTTATAATGTTATAATTTGTTTAATTGTTTAATTAAAAAAAGTATTAAACGATTTTCATTTATAAGTTATATTTTAATATTAAAGAATCTCGATTATGGACGAAATAATAAGTGTTACCTATATTATTATTATTTTTTTTTATTTTATTTTTTTTTGAGGGGGGCATAAATAATATACCCGGGGGCGCCAAATTTTTAAATACAGGCCTGGCGGTAATTATGCTTATTTTTTCAAAACTCCCCCCCCCCCGAAATTTTTTTCTGCGTCCGCCCCTGATGATGGGCATAATCGAATAATTACGATAATCAAAATATTAGTAATCAAGACATTTTTATAATCCAGAAAAGTCTTGAAATAATCTAACTTACTCAATACTTCAAGCCAACATAATTTAATTGGATATAGGGTTAGTATTATAGTAATTTATTTAATCAGCTTGTAAAATATTAAGGAGGGGAATGGTAAAAAGAGATTATTATTAAAATAGAGTATTACGATAATACCAATATTTATTAATAAACAAACTGAAAGATATTCGTCTATGCAGGAAGGAATATTATTTATATAAGGTTATATACCAAACTAAACGCAATGGAATATTTACTTGTTTGCCAAACGAGTGAGGACAATAAATAAAATAAGGACACAAGCAGTTTGTGCCCATGATTATTTACCGTTCAAAAACATAACAATGTAAAAATGATCTTGAATTTATAAAATTCAACTAATTTATGCTTGCGTCCTTGTAAGATTGGTAAGAAAGAAGCAAACATTTGTGATGCAATACTGCTTTTTGACGTAATCGTTGCGAATTTGAGATATGACTCGCAATCAACACGGCTTATAAACGTATATTGTAGTCAGTGGTGTGCACAGAGTGGGATAATTGGGGTAAATCCCTCCCTAGGCTTTTTTTTTTTTAGTCTTAAACGTTTAAAAACGTATTTAAGAAATACGACGGAGCAGTCACGGTTAAATGGATTTCGTTAATGAACATATATCAAGACATTCCATTATCTACAAAAAAAGTTATTGATGAATTTAGTGTAAAAGCTAGAAGGATGAAGATCCGCCTTGATTGCATTTTTTTTTTTATATATATATAATAATAAAGAATAAAGATTGAAAATAATACATTTTTATGTATAACATTCCCCCCCCCCCCATACCAAATTCCTTCGTACGCCACTGATTGTAGTACCGAAAACCTAAGGACGATTCATCAATTGACACTGATATTTTGGATTAAACAAAAAATACACTGCACAAAATTAATGATTTAAGGAAACAAAACTCGTTTCCGTGGAAAATGTCCTTGAATTTGAACTGACAAATGTTGGTTTTTTCTTCAATCTGCTGTTCCACATCAATTAAAATTCTTTACCGCCAACCAAATAATTATAGTACATTGTTGTATCGTTGTCTTAAACGGGAAAAGTGAAATATAAATGTTTCTGACATTATACATAAAATAATGAAACAAACAAAAAACGATAATAATATTCTGGTTTGTCTCTAGTAATTTTTTCATTATTCATAATGATACATGTATTATATTGTATTATAAAAATTAAGATTACAAGAACAATCAAAATAACTGTTTGAATTCACTAGGAAAAAACAAACATATTTTTATAAATACGAGATACGTATGATCATACGTTAAATATTAGCTATCAGTTCCAAGTATTTTTAATGAACATAAGAGAAGAAATTGCCTAATAAATATGAATTTATACAAAACGCTAGATTTATAATATTGTTTAATATTCTGATGACACACTTTTTTGTTCAACAAGTATTTTTTTCAAAGTGATTAAAACCATAAAAGGAATACTACATGTTAGAGATGGTTATAACTTATAACTAGTATAATAAAATATCACAATTTAAAATGTAGAAAGTACTTAATTATGGTACACAAAAAAAAACTAATAGGTTTGATATCATCATATTAAATAAATAAATCAAAAACTTTTATTGCTATTATTTTTTATATTTGTTTATTAATTAATAATAATTGATATTCAAACATATTCATTTAATAAATTTAATCACAAAAAAAAAATTCTCACAAATTAAAATTTATTATGTATCTTATATGTTTATTAAATTTGTGATATTATGAAAACAATATTATTAGTAATAATTTATTACATTTATATTATTTTTAAGCATTTAAAAATAAAAACGTTTGTGATGTTTAGTGAAGTCTTGGTGTAATAAAATTAATCTTGAATTAACATTTTAAGTCTCAAAACTAATAAATTGCATAAGGTTGATTTTGGTAATAGTTTATTTTAAATTTAAACAATAAATTAATCTATAAACACACAAAATTCCATTTTCTTATTATTTATTATTATTTTGTGTAAAAAATGACATAATTTTTAACCAACTTACACAATATATTAGAGATTAGATTATATGAAATATGTTGTTTAACAGTCATTGTATTTGCTCTTATATACTGGAAATTGACAGGAATTCCGGCTTAATACCTGTCAGTTTAATTCAATGGTTTTCAGAACAATGAAATCACTTGCTCATGAATAATTATTTATCTTAAGACAATGGTGATTAGAGAGCAAGTGTATAGAGTACATGCGGGCATACCATTGAGCTGAAATTTTGCTGTAGTTGAAATATAATACTTCTGAGTATATAAAAGACAAACAATCCTAAGCACATATTAAAGTATGAAATGACTTAAGTTATTATTAAAAACTGAAATTAAAGAAAGAAATAGAGTTATTTTAGACATTTATCTATTATATTTTTTATAAAGCAATTAAAAAAAAAAATAAATAAATAGGAAACCGATAGATAAATTAAAATATAGAAATAAAAATGTTTATTTTAAATAATAAGCATATTTAGGAAAATATAATTATCATAATTGCAGAAAAAAATTAAAAATCTAATTTAAAGTTTGATTTCTAATTAAAAAATAATTAAATTATCTTGTTTACTAGATAGTTTAAGTTACCTAAGCTAAAAAGTATAAATATAATATAAAAATTCAAAATTATTGTTAATTGAAAAGTTTAATAATAATATCAATCATTAATACTAAGAATTCATAGAATTTAATTTTACTTCATATCATTTATAAAAATATCATTCTAAAACTTGTAAAGTCTGCATGGAATACATCAATTTTAATATAAAAAAAAAAAGTTGAATTATTACAAGTCATATATGTATTTAGAGTAAAAATGAATTAAAACTATACTAAAGTTTTCCTTATATGCTAATTAATTATAAACATATAAAAAAAACTTAATTTACAGTAATTAAATATTCGCGTGAATATTAATTTACAACCAACATATGAATAACATTGAATATCAATTATTTATAAATTTAAATAACTACAACTAATAAAATGTTTTTCAGATGTTAACGATCCAAAATAACACTAAATATTTTAACCAAGAAACTTAAAAATAGTACTAAAATAAACATTTTAGAAATTTTTAAAATGTTTATTTCTATATAATGCTATATAATAAAACGTGCATTTTTTAAGTCATGTTGGGCTATAAACCTTTTAAATTTTAAATTTTCAAAATTATGCTACAAAAAACTTTGTTATAAGTTAAAACCAATTGTATTTGGTCAATTTTAAATATATTCTTGAAATTTCAAAAAAAATGCGAACTAAAATATATCAAAATTTTCTATTCAATGTCTTACTACTTATTTCATAAATATATTTTAAATACTAATTATTTATTTTTAATCCACTAACCAAACTGAGCTGAAAATATATTTATTTGTTTTCATCAGATCAGATAAGGGTATAAAACATTTATTTTATTTACATAATATAAATAATAAAAATTACCTCTAATAATAAATACCTCTATATATTTTATACATGTAAATACAAAAAAAAAGTCATTTACTCGTAATATAAAAGTTGGATGGATAAAAGGATTTTGGTTCACGTTTGTCTCATACTTTAGAAAATAAATAACGTTCTTAAAATATGATTCAATTAAATATTTTAATAATCTACCAACCATAGTTTAAAAATTAAAAAATTCTATTATAAGATGACTAATGAATTAAATTGTTACCATAAAATAAATATTTTTAATGTAGGTAGCATAATGAAAAATATTTTATTTATACTATAAATAGGTAAAAATTAATTGTTTTCATTGATTGTACACATACATAATAACAAAACACAAAGCAATTCTTTTAAATGTTTGTAATAAGTTAAGAGATGATAAGCTAATCACTTAATTTTAAGCAAATTCTCAGAGCAAAAAAATTTTTTTACATATAGGTACATAGTATCCAATACATAGAACAAAAGTAGATAAAATATAATTGTAAAATAAATTTCAATTCAATATATTTTATGTAAAAATATAATAATAATAAGGGTCAATTTTTTTTTTTTTTAATTAACAAAATCTTACCTTTGCGCTGAATAATAATCCTAAGTAATGGTTTTGCTGTTAAAACTGCCCGTCCTAGATTATCATCGTTATTGATAGGTAAAAGATCTCCATCTTTTGGATCTGTATATGACAATACAAACGGTACTTCGATTAACTTGTGAAGCCGTTCTATCAGAATTCTAAAGTGTTCGTACGTGCCAACTTCCGTTTTGGGCAATGAAATACGACGGAACTCGGCGTCAAACTGTAAAAAGTTATACAATTATAACTCATGGACACACAAGATCAACGAACCACTAATTTCGAGTGTGGTACGTGTATATACGTACTTTGCTTTTGATCTCTAATTTTGCCATCGTCAGACGAGCTCGTTTGTTCCGAGTGTCAACTTCTTGGTGACGATGTCATAGCCGATTAGTCGGCCGTTGAAACAGAAATTCATCTACACACACATGTAAAGCGATGTCATTACTATCCACTTCGGATAGAAATGAAAAAAAAGATACCAAAATTCACTGACAGAGACACAAAAATTATTATGAGGCGTACTAGACGAAGAGATTAAAAAAAAAAAATCACTTAAAGTTAAAACGCTGTGACTATAGCAAGCAACACGGGGAAAAATGATAACAGCCGATCAGTGCGGTTATCGGAGAAAACGTGTAACTCCTACCAGTGCCACCGGTTATCACTTCGACGTACAGCAGTATCACTATTTTTCTGTGATATCACCGGACGGGTAACTGCCATAATAATTGTTATAGTGATGGGAACAATCGAGAGGTTAGTAATCGAGAAGATTTAACAATCGAGAGATTCACTCGAAAAAATCTCTCAGTACTTAGTTGATAGTAACTATTTACTGTTTACTGAATAAAAATTTAAATTTCTTGTAGATAGTACCTAGTGTAATATTATATTATGAAATCGCTCGTTCGTTTGAATAATAATTAAACTAATGAGTTCGTTGTATTTCTTATAATAAATACATTAACCATAATACATTTTAATTATATACAATATATTAATGAACCATAAAATTAAACATGTCGTATTTTTTAGGGAATATTTTAATTTATTATCAACTTCATATAAATAAAATAAAACTACATCCTTGTTTAAAATAATAAAAATTGATACTTATTAAATTACAGCTCAATATATAGTAAATAAAAAAAAAGTTTTAAAGTTAAAAAATGTTTAAATTACCGTTTAAAAATATTATTGTGACTAAAAATGGATAAAAACTGAAATAAAATATAATATCACAATATCATACCATTAAAATTTGTCAATTTTAAGCTACTACATTTGTAATATTTAATTTAATGAATGCATCTTTACAAGCAGTGATTAGAATTTTAATTGTTGGATTCAACGATAAAATACCTAATCAAATTTTTAAACTTTAAAATATGTTTTAAAATTTTTTAAAGTTATAATACATAACTTTAAATAATCAAAACTGGGTGTTGAGAGTTAGAATGCCCACATCTAATTATTATTTCTAGTATGGCAATAATAAATTAGTACCATTCTATTCGCTCATAAACGTGTTTCGAATGTTTAGAAAGGAAGCAAAGACACAGAACAAAACACAAATATCAAAATGTTTTACAATTTTTCATTTTTATTTTTGTCATAATTCGATTACAAATATTTCGGGTATGATGAACGATGAATATGAACAAAAAGTAATCTAGTACTATCTATTAGTTAAATGTTATATTATCTTAGACCTTATCTAACCTAACTAGCATTTTTCGCTCGATTACTTCAACTGATATAGGATTTTGTTACCGAGAAAATAACTCGGAACCAAATGAGTGTATGAATAATCGAGCATTTTTCACTCGATAATTTCAACCGATTTTGATACCGAGAGAATCACTCGATGATTTCCAAAATAATCGAGAACAATCGATTACATCGAACAATCGAGTATTTAGAGTATTTTCTCTCGATTGTTCACATCATTAGTGATGGGTATAATCATAGGCGCAATTTGGTGGGGGTTTGGGTGTGCTTAGCATCCCCATTTTCGAAATTAGCACCTCCAAATGTATTTATGTTAATTTACATTTAAATACTAATTACTCATTATGTATTGAAAAACAATAGTTTTTGAGTTTTTTTTATAAATATATAAATGTTTATACAAACGAAAAAAAAATATTTTTGCTATAGGGTAAAAGTTTCAAGTTTTTTCTCACGTCTAGAAAGACTATTGAGATTTAAAAAAATTACCTACCTAAAGTACCATCGCATGCAAATTTAAAATCTAAAAAATGTTCTAGAAAAAACTTTTGGGCCAGTATTTCTATCCGAATAAATGTTAAACAAATAAAATACAAACATCATTATAAAACCATAATATCCTTCGCTTCTGTCAAAATCTAAAAGTGATCATGTAATAAAACATTTGTGTTTACAGACAGGTAATTCGTTATAAAAACAATAAAAATATAAAATCAAAGTAAACAATTTAAATTTAAAAATATTCATATATTTACCAAATATTTTAGTAACTGTTGAATTGTACGGTTTGCAGGTGTCTATAACCATTAAGGAACATGAAAAGATAGAAGGGCTTCAGCACCAAATTTGTTTTGATATACTATAATATTTATAATATTTTTCACGTCCAAAGCATTTTTGAATAATTTTAGAGAGTTCTGAACAACTGGACACATTAGTCCTTTACAAATCGACATGCATGGATTCAAAAATTAGTTTTAAATAATCTGATCCTTAAAATTGTTCTGTATATATTTATGAATTGTTTGATTAATTAATTTTTAAACTGCTTAAATTGTTTAGAAAAAGCATAAAAATAAATATTTCAGTATCTTCATTTTTATTGATATCAGTAGATATCTGTTCTAAAAAAAAAAAAAAATCAGTATTATAATCCAACTCTCTTTTATTTAATATTAAAAAAAATATTGTATTATATTTTATTAGTATATTCTATTTATTAGTATATATAATGTTCTTATAATTAATTAGAGTAACAATTGTATGGTTATTTTTCTATCAGCCGCAAATCGATCAATTATTTTGTCCACGTCAATATGTATGTCCTTATGCGTATTGAGTAAAGCTAAGCCAATTAATCTTTCCTCACCCATGCGTGAGCTTATCCACGTTTTTAACCTAAAAAAAAAGCAATAAGCAAAATACTAAAAGCAGGAAAGCATAGTATGGTCATTATATGGGCAGAAAAGTTATAGGAAGTAAAATTGCTAAAATATACATAAAAAATATTAAAAATAAGCTGTACATCATAATTGTGGCAAATTGAAAAATGTATTTTATAGTAAACTCTAATATTAAGGAAATCTTTAACCTGCGTAAAGTAGAAAAACTACGTTCTGCCGAAGTCGTGCTTATTGGCAAAGCAGCAAGAATATTAAGCAATGAATTAATTGTAGGATATATTATTTCAGAACATTCATCTAATGCTTGAAATACATTTCCCGATAAAAATTTAGTTAAAATTTTTAAATTTAATATTACGAAATGATTTGATATAAATTGTAATTTTTTACCTTTCAAGTCACAGCTATGCCATTTTTATTTCCATAAATCAATTTCTAATTTCAACGGTACATCATTAATTTCATTAAGAAATGGATAACTAGTTTTAATCGCGTATACTATATTAGTACTATTAATATTCTGAGACCATATACTTAAGTTTTTCGGAATAAAATATGTTAGTGTTTGGATTAGTGTTTGGTTATCCTGGCCCTGAAATCTTCGTTTTAAATCTTCAATTATTCTATCCAATAGTGGAATAAAAATTTCGATTCTATAATAGTCTTCACAGTTATCGATGTTACTTGGATTTGGTCTATTTTTTTGATTAATATTGAGTCTAGGTAATTTTAGTTCTACATCTAATTGATCCATTATAGATTTACATTCACTATAAATATTTTTAAATACAATATCACAATCAAAACGGTTTTTTTCCAATACTATTACTATATTTTGCACTACATTACTTGCTGATAATATGTCGTTACTCTTCCCTTGTAAAGTTTTACTTGTGTGATAAATAATATAGAGTACTGATGATAAAGAAAATATTGATATTATAAATTCACAATTGCACAATGACAATATTAATGTCTTTGCTTTAGATGCTGAGACTGTGTCTTCCCAATTTGACACCTTAGTTAAGGCTTTCATAATTTCTGTTAATGAACTTTTAAATTGTAGTACACTGTCAAGCATTTCAACCCACTGTGTTTCACATAGTTTCACAAAAGGGCGATTTAAATATTTTTTCAAAACAAAATTACGTTTAGCTGATATGTTAAAAAACGAAATCACTTGCTGCATAATACCAACACTGTTTCGAATAGATTGGACTGCCGAAGATTTTGAAATAGACAAATTAAGTGCATAATTATTACAAGGACAGTAGACTGCATGTTTAGTGAATTTTTGAATATATTGAACTGCTCATTTTAAAGTTGATATCATAACTGAACAACCATCAGTAGAAATACCAATGCAGTTATTCAAATTTAATCCAATTTTAGTCATAATTTTAATAACTATGTATGAGCCGAAACGAGGGTCAAAGGAATAGTCACAATGACTAATATAAAAACAAGATTATAATAAAAAAAAAAAAAAATTATAAATAATAATGTGGTGGGTGCCTATAATAAATCGTATAGGCAAGTTTACCTACTCCACGCGTACTGCGTGTACTGCCTTTGTAGATAGGCAACTCAGGTACACGATGGACCGATAGCGTTCGGCGGTGACCCCTGGCACGACGGCGGCGCCGGAAAGGAACGGAAACAATTTAATTATTAAAGGGAAAACAGGAAGTTGAGTTTAGTTATTGGGGGGAGGTCTCTGTGGTCGAATCAGTCTGGTGCAATGACCACAGAGCTCACACAAAAATCGGACGAAATACTAAAATTAAACACTCAGGCCACACCTTACAAACTAACTTAAAATTACGTTATGACTAGAAGACGATGGTAACTGTTGAGAAGGTCTAGGCGACCTGGACGGCCTCGCACACATCACGCCGGGTGCTGGCGGTCTTACGCTTTGGCGGACCAAATAGAGAAAATGACGATCACGGATAGACATGCACTCTGACGATGATGAATGAAACAAATTACATATAACTTCAATAACTCACTAAATACACTTATGGTAACGAAGTCAAGAAAAGGCTGGTAACTCGTGTGTTGCGGATGACGGTAAGGTTTTTATTTTTATCAAAACAAAACGTATATATAATAAATAATTACTACCTAAATGGCGAGAAAAATAATCAATAATTGTAAATTGTTCGCTACAGTAGCGAATACAAAAAAAAGAAGTATGGTATACAAAAATAATAATAAGAAAAAATCGAAACGAGTAGAGAAGCTTCAATAGCGACCGAAAGACGAGTGACAAAAATAATAATAATAACAGACTGTGGTGCAACAATCGCAACCGACGAACGAACAACGATAAAAGTATGTGAAAAACCAAAAAGGGCGTTGGCCGCCGTTCATTAATAAATAGGAAAAAAAACAAATAATAATTTTCATGATATAACACACGGCAATACGATAATAATAATAAAATAAAAATATGACAGGTAATTAAAATTCACATATACAGTTGGGGAACCGGAAGGGAAATAGATAAGGAACTGGTCGACAGCCGACGTCGCCGTACAGCGTTGAGTGTAAACTCACATTACGAGTATGCGCGTAAACAAACTATTTCCCCCAATAGTTCTGTTAGTTTTGGTTCAATTATAACATCTTCTTTGTGCTGTTCATCATCATTATTATCCATGTCACCATCATTATCATCATCACAATCTTCATTATTAGCTTTATCATTATCATATTTTCCCCCAAAGTCATTATTATCATTATATATTTTGTTATGACAGTCAACAAAAGCTAGAAAACGTTCAAAAACTTTACCTGATAGTGTGTATCGAACACTTAAACTCATTTGTGAAATTGCAGAAATGTCTGTAGTTTCATCAAAAATAATGCTATAAAATCTAGCCACATTAATTTTATTTATTGTATGAGCTGTTATTTCTTTTCTAATACACTCAACTCATTTTGTATATGATAACTTATATAAGTTGCTTTTTCATGAGCAGATTTTAAATGTTGTTCAAGAACTGTATCACCTGATGATATTTTAAACTTCAGAAGTTCCCTGAAATTCCCTTCGTTAGTAATTGATGTAGACTTTGAACTTAGATCTGAGAAAAAAGAGCTGGAAAAAAGATGACCATCATCTCTATGACCTCTAAGGGCAATATTTTGACGACCAAGGAACATGATGGATTCAATAATAGGTTTTAAACGTTGTCGATTTTCTTTAATTTCCTCCATACGTTGTGTATCAAGTATATTTACAATAATTTGTTCTGGTATATAATGTATATAATATATAATATAATTTTTTTTTAAAATCAAATGCGAATTGAACACAATTTTTATGATATATATTATTCTGATGTGTTTCTAAATAGCCATCTACTCCCAATAATTTAGAATATTGATCTAGCTGTTCGGTTATAAGTTTTTTTAATTGTTCAGTATTTCTCCTTCCACCTTTTTCAGAAGCCAAAAACAGTACACAAAACTTACAAAATAATCCAGATTTAGCAGTAGAATATTCAAGCCAACAATATTTTTCAAAATTGTTTTTTCTCACATAACGTTTTTCTTATTTTCCTATTTTTTATGGGTAGAAAAGGGGTATATAAAGTCATTATCTGGTACATTACAATGGTTAAGTAGTGTATACTATACTTGTTGACCCCACAAATTTCCTATATCCAATGTTTCACCTAAATAATAAATTATCGTATTTATAATCAAAAACTACGATTATAAATAATATCTATTATAGCCGTGTCAAAAACTATAACCGTTGTCTAAAACCACGATTTAAGATAACATTATATTATATTAAATTATCAAAAAATAAACATTGATAAGATATTCAAAAGAATACCTTTTTTCCAATAATTTATTAGGTTTGAAGTTATAGTGAATTTTATATAACCATTATATAATAAAGCGCTTTTTTAAGTAACAAAAAAAAACTCAAGGGGGAGGGGGCGATTACTACATAGCCCCCTCATATCCACCACTGGTATCGGACCTATTAACCCTTTCATGTCCAGGGCCTGATTTAATAAAATTAGGGCCAAGTGCACAATTTTTTTTGGGGCCCCCCCAAATCAAAAAAATCTACATAGAGGGGGGCATGTTGATAATAAAAAAAAATATTTATATGTTTAAAAGTGTCAAATACCTATCTCAAAACTTATAAAATTTTAAAATCGAATGAAATATTAACCAGTGGTTCTAAAAATGATGATTGCATGAACGAAATGCTTATAGCGTTACCAACGACAGGTAAATCTGTAAATACTGTACTCGAATAAATCTATAAAGGTATAAATCTACTTTATCGGACACCTTTTTTTTTTTTTCAAAATACGTGGTTTTTATGCTGAATTCAAAACTGTTTGAAAAAATGCCCGCAAACTTACCGTTCAAAAGTTATGGTAGTTTAAAGTTGCAGTGATTACGCGTGTATGGTAATTAAAAGTGGTCGATATTATAAAATATGCTAAATATAACTAACTTTCATAACTTTTGAACAGTAAATTTTCGCAATATTTATGGAGACCGAAGTTCACTTGAGGTGGTTTTACACAACAAATCGGGGGATATTTTCGAATTGCGGAGCGGAGCGACAGCTACGAGGAGCATAGAGACGAGAGCCGAAACACGCGTAATCACTGCAACTTTGAACTTTCATAACTTTTTAACGGTAAGTTTGCGGGAATTTTTTCAAACCGTTTTGAATTCAGTATAAAAAACTACGTATTTTGAAAAAAAAAAATAGTGTCCGATAAAGTAGATTTGTTCCTCTATAAATAGTTATTAGGTATCAAATATTTCCGATGTTCAAACAATTTTCTATTATTATTATTTTAATATTTTGTGATGGTAACTGATTAGAACTGGGGTGTAGAATGACAAAAATAACCAAAATTCAACTTACAATTTAATGATAAAAATATACTGAACTCAAAACATTGACAGTTGGTATTAGGTACATTTTATAAAATAAATGTTTGTGGAATTAATTTAAAAATACAATTTTCTAGAACTTATGGTGACCGGGGGGCCTCAGAAATGGAGGGCCAAATGCTTCATCTGCACTTGCGTAAATCAGGGTCTGTCTAAGGTAAGTTGTAGAAACAGCTTCAGGTATGTAACCTTAGTACATATTTATTTTAATTATGAATAATATTATAAACACTATTTTTTTATTTTAATAAATATTATTTTACTATAAATTAAGTTATTATTTCATATGCTTGAGTTATGAATTAAAATCCTAACTTTTAAGAACAAAACTAAAATAATATTGTGGTAAAACATGTTATTAAGATATTAGCGTCATGTGCAAAATAAAGATAGTAACACCATTTGTATGTGCCGCCATCTCGTTCGAACATGCTCTCTCGGGCAACACTGCTTGGTGAGCATTCCAGTTATGAGTTCAATGTAGTATCGCAACGTCCCTATCTATGCTTCAACGCTTATCAATTGGTTAACGTACGGTGCGCTGCAACACGCTCGTGCCATTATTATTTTTTTTTATTTATATTTTTGTGCGATTGAGATCACGAATATTTCGCGAAAATGAAGGTCAAATTGATCGGTAGGGCATCAAATGTGAGTGGCAAAACGCTTTGGGAAATCATCGGTAATCTGAGGAACGCGGGTATTGGTCGGTTAGTAACCAGAAACTCGTACAACAGATATGAAGAGCCATGTTTTTTCAAAGTACTGGCCGTCGAGCCAACCGCTTACATAGTAAGATTGAGCGCTATTGAACTGTTGACTGTTACGTGACATATGCGTTTCATTGCAGGAAAACCAGACTAGAAAGGTAATTGTTCATGCCGAGAAAATATTCAGAGGTAAACTTTACCCAGAGCCAGTAGAAATATATAGTGTCTCGTACAAACCAGACTATCGTTTAATACCTAAAGACGAAGAACAGTTGTGGTGGGACCGACTGGCCAATTGTAAGCCACGAGAAAGGATAGTACCAGGATTGATTGAATTGCCACCACTCATGAAAGTAAGTGATAACCATTTAAATTTTCCATTGAGCGTTTGATTTTCATTGAAATACATATGGTTAATTGTGTTTCAACAGTTGTTATTGGAACGAGACAATAAAGATTCTGATATTAGGCTGCCATTAGAAATACGTAGTAACCGTGACAATGTGGCCCAATCAGACTTATCTAAACTATCATCGTACAAACCAATATTTTTCAAAAATCAACAGAGTAATTAATGTGCATTGTATTTATTATGTTCAATTTTATAATTAATATATATTTGTAGATTTTGTTTTCATTTTCTGTATATTTATTTCTAATTGCTATTAGTTTAGCAATATGTTATATTATTTTCACAATTCTACTTTCAAATCTTCAGTTCTTGATGTTTGATACTCTAGGATCATCTGGTCGGTAAACTGAAAAACAAAATTAAGTAAATTAATAAAAAATGTTGTACTACCAATTATCAATAATCTTTACACTCAAAATAGAAATGTATTGAGACTATATTTTCTAATAGGAAAACAACTATATTTTAATACAAATTTAAAATAAAATATCTACCAATAAATATTATAGAAATTACTTAATAATTTATCATATTATAAGTAAAATTAAACAATAAAATTATATTTATTTTTAACTAAGCACATGATTTTAGGATTTTATCAATTTTTTAATTTGACTTTACTCTTTTTACTGTAATAAAAATGTCACTCATGCAATAAATTTAAATACTATACGTATAGTCAAAGCTTACAGTATATTATAAGATTAAATTATAACTATCTAAATATAACATTATTAATTTAAATCATAGATAAGTAGTCAAAAAAAAAAAAAAAAATTCAACAACTTTTATCATTTAGGTTCCAGATACATCAATTGCATTTTAATAAAAATTAATTTTTTCTTTCTTTTAATTGCAAAATAATATAACTTAGGTTATTGTACATAAAAATAGTTATATATAATTTATAGTGGTTAGCATAATATTCTCAAATAAAATAATAATGAACATTCAAATTGCATATAGTACCCATAGCCCAAATTTATTACTATTTAAAAAAATAGTCTGTCAAATATAATCGTAATATATTTAGGTGAAAAACTGACTTAATTTTGGATCTTAAAAGTAAAATTCATATGAAAAATAATTTCAACAATTATAACTAATAGGATTGAAAATAAAATAATTACTTTTTCCAAAAAAAAATAATAAACTGATTTGTATGGAATGAAATAAAAAAAAAAAAAAATAAAGAAAAATATTAAGTCCATGCTAAGTTAAAATAATTGAAGTATGATAACTATAATACTGCTTAACATATAATAAATCATTATTATAACCCAATGTTAAAGCTGTTTCGAATGAACATTGTTTGAATTGAAAAATAATGATTGGCGCTGGTCGTACCAAGTTTAGAAATATACAATGTTCACAGTGTCATACAACGCATTATCAGTTCAGGCATGATGAATAAATAATAGCAATAAAATAGTGTTGAATTTTAAACGATATCAAAAACGTTTAGGCAAGTTTTTATAAGTAACGACTTAATGATGATATAACGCATTACGTTACAAACTAAGTATTGATATGACGATACTTACGGGTATACTTAAATTTATATCTCCTGTTGTTGCCATCATTTTTCTGATACCTGTAGGTATGATACATAATCAAGCCCACGCCGAGGAGGCAGAACGGAGCGCCTATAGTAATCAACGGTAGTTCGTGCAAGCTTTGCCGTAACATGCCCTTGACTATGAACGGAGAGAAAAAAAAATTGTGAAGTAACGTATTTAATTATTAATCCTCCGCCATGACTGAATCAAAATACTAATATACATACGGCCGGGTCCATATTTCTCTGGATTGAGAATTTTTTCGACTCTCATATTGACGGGTTTGTTTCTTTTTTTTTTTTTTTTTACCGAAAATTAAAAAAGAACACCGCGGATTCGACGAACAACGCAATATCAAAAATGGATATAGTGGAATTCAGTAGATACGGCAGCAGCTGAGGTGAAAATGATTTCTTATCTCAACTACGGTTATAGCTCGCGAGGTGTGAAGTTGGCAACAAACCATCAGGAGTTCGACCGATGCCGTCGGTAGGCGGAACGGAGAAATTCGTCCCGTCGTGTTATTAGAATTTGCGTTCCGAACACGATTGCGGCAGCAGCACTGGACGTTTCATCGGGCGTTGTGAACTACAGTTTTGATTGTTGCCCGCAGGATCTCATGGCCGCGTCATAAAACCCTTTTGTTTCGTGTCATATTGTCGTTTGATTTTTTTCAACGAACAAATTTTTCCAACTGTAAATCAACGATTTCTTGCAAAATAACGTCATGCCCACCTCTTCGTTTTTTTTTTTTTTTCGAATCCCTATGCCTTATCATATGAATGAAAAATTAAGCTAAAATCATTATCTTTAGAATTGTCCGACTAAGAAATTTGAATTATATTGATATACCTCTTAAACCGGCAATTGTTAGTTTTTAATTAACATTATGGTCGAAATGGGAAAATACGTTTACTGGTAGACACACGTTTACGGGTTCAAGGAAACCTCGATATTAATTCAGAATTATTAATTATTGCAATTTTTTCGTGTGTATTATTTAGGTAATCGTCGCGGAACATTTTAGATTGATACCAGTGTTAGGTTTTTGAGGTCCACCTGATGAGGATTTTCACCATAAACCGAGGGATGTTTTTATTGAAGTTCCGCAGTGAGCTCGCCAAACGGTTGCAGTACCATGCCCACAGTTATTACCATTTAAAGTGCGTAAAGGTAAACATTTGGGAAAAATAGTTAATAAGTATTGAAAAAACGGATATTTTGAGAACCCATAACCTTCAGCGACTTCTCTTTAAATATTTCCACTCCACCAACATATCGATAATGTTTACAGTGGGCTAAGCCACATAAGGGGTAAATTAAAATTATGCAAGTTTCAAAATCTCATATTATAATAACTAATCATTTGTATACAATAATTCTTAAAATAATAAAATATTTAAATTTTGCGATAAAAAAATGATTTCACTCAAGAAAAATATGTTCTGGACTTTTATGTCTTACAATATCAAACTCCACAATTTCCGTTCTATTTTTGTGAATTTCACCACAAATCTCATTCTAAGTGCATTCTTTCTGATATAATAGGTGACTATAAAATAACTGCTACAAGTATACATTTATATATCAAATATTGATACTCGGTGTTACTTATGTACAGGATTAGAAGGAAACTAAAAAGTGAAATGATTTATTATGAGTTATATATTGTAGAATTAAAAAAAAAAAAAACAATAAACAATTTAACAGATAAATATAACAAATGTTTAATTTTTTACATAAAAGATATCTATTAAGACACATAGTAAACAATTAGTGATTTACAAAATTACATTTCTAAAGGATATAATTCACAAAATATATTTTTATATATTTGTATATGGGACGGTCATATTAGCACATACTAAAAGTCTAGATTATACAGTAATTAAACTATAAATATTAAAATAACTCATATGAGTTATACTATACCTAACTATATTTAATTAGATCACATTCAATAGAAAAACAAGTGACACAATAAATAATAACAATACACTCTGACATATTGTTTATACATGTATAACATACAAAGTTAACAAAAATAACCAAAAAAATAATAAGTTAAATAAAAAAAACCTCTACTGGTTTCCCTCTTTTTATTTGAATAATTGTAAATAATAGGTGTGTGCAATCAGCAGTTGAGTTGCTCTAATGATCATAATCTTTGTGTTGCAATACCATTTTAAGTTAGTGAGAAATAACCACATTTTAATAATAAACATTATAAAAATATATAATAAATTTGCGAATAACATTGTTACGTGATTTTAAAAACTGGTCCAATGCGTGAAAATATCCAGCTAAGAACTGTTTTCAGTTCAGGCTTGAGATCAATACTGATCATTTCACACAACAGAGAATAGTGTTGTGAAGATTGTACAGCAAACTGTAATAAATCAATCACAACAGTTATTATAAAACTAAAAACAACCATAAAATAGTTTTTGCGTACTTTGTCTTCTGGTAACTTGTACAGTTTTGTAAATATGAGCAATAAAATAGGATTCCACGAAGTTTGATGGTATGGATTATTCAATGATAAATAATACTGAAGTGAATCATTTATAACATTACTAGCAACATTTTGTGCATGTGCCCAATGAACACGTCGTGATTCATCACATATAGCTTTCAACGCTATTCTCAATACACAAGCTACACTTTGGGTTTCTTGTGTCAACATATTTGATATGTCATCATTAACTGTAAAAGTATTAACATTTATTTAACTGTTAATAATAATTGAATATGATTATAATGGTTTTAATTTGTTACTAACTGTAACTTCGCTGTGGAATGTTTTGCAATATAGCATAATTATATTGTTTTGTATAATTGTGAACACGCAAGAGACAATCAGTTAACATAAACAAATGTTCCGAACTCAAGTTACTGTACATTCCCTGCTCTTCTTGTTGCTGTTCCAATATATCTGTGTTTTGATTGATAGTAGCATTTTGAGCTAATGCCAAATACTCTTGATCCTCTTTACGTGATGTAGAAGGAAAAAAAACAATATTATCCACAGTACGAATTAGCTCAAGGCGTATCACACATTTTGCAGTTATTAAGACATCAGGTTTAACAAACTGCAATCATATGAATGGATGGAAAATTATATTAAACAATCAATTTTAAATGTTATTGAATGTTATTTAAATCATATTAATTTAAGTACTGTATATAATTTTAAATACACGAAAAATAATTTTAAAAAAGTTCCATTTTATGAGCAATAATTTAATTAATAATAATAGCTCGAGTTTTACTCGTAAAATATTAAATAAATAAATGTATATGCATATACCTCAGACCGTGAACTCTGTTCATGTAATGGTTTCGGCATCATACTGTCAAACATTGACACTATTGTCTGACAAGTACAATCCCAGTTCACCTTATCAAATTTTGATCCATTGGATGTAATCAAATTTTCCAAACAGTATGTACTTGATTGAGCTAATTGACCATTGTCTAAGATACATAAATTAAAAATTAATTAGCTTATTTAAAATTAAGTAAATTAAATGTACCTTGTTGAATACACCATTGGAGTTGAGCATATAAATCTTGTAGTAATATTGGACACAAAATGTCAAAATATTGAGTAAAAACATCAACAATTGATGTTAGTGCATGATTGCATGTGATAGTCATCCATTCAATTCTCTAATACAAACATATAATTAAAATGTTAAATAAAAATATCTAATATCGTTATAAATTTAAATATTTCTTACTTCAACACTATGCTCTTGATGTTTTACATTATCAAATATACGGAAAAGAACATTGAAAAGATCTTTCCACCAATTCAATTTAAATACAGTACCATGTGTTTTAATAAGTTCAAATAGAACAGTTAAGGCACGGGTTCGAATGTCTAATTTACATCGACTAACAATACATGATAATTCAAACAACAATGGGAACCATCCTCGTACCCATACACCATCTTCATCAACAGAAGAAGATTCTTCAGAAAAATGTTCAGCAAATATCTAAAAATTTAATTATAACATAAGTACAGAAATAATTAGTTTAGGTTTATCTGAACGGAATAATTACGTGAGGTTTATCATGAACACAATCAGCACAGGTACGTAATAAATGTATTGCTTCCATGCTAATTTCTGGAAAACTGACATTACATGCAAATTCAGACAAACATTTTACAGCATCTTGGAATGATTCCATCATAATTATACAGTTTTGTTTGTAAAATAAGTCTATATAAAATAACCATTAGTAAAAACATTGCAAAATAACAAAATTATAACATTATACAACATAATAATTACTCACTGATCACATGTTGTGTAGTTCGAAATGACATATCAACAATAGCTCCATCATGGTCAGAAGCCGCTAAGTGAAACACACCAAATATATTCTTCCATCCAGATCTAATGTTTGCTGCTTGTGAATTGACCATCTGAGTAATGCATCTAACTACCATATCCCTTATGGTCGGGGAATGATTCTTTTTCATAATAATTTCAAAAGGCCGCAAGAAATCTTTTTGAAATTTAAAATTTGCAAACTCTCCTTTTTCAATAAACTTCATCGATAACTGACGTAATGAGTCAAGAGCAAAAGTAGCAATGTCTTCGTTTGGATAACAACCAACACGGTTAAAGTGTTCACCAAGTACTTGCCACATACGTGACCACTGCAGTCGAATACGACCCATATTGTAATAAGAAATTTCTACAATTTTTTGTAAACTAAACATACGAGGATGTGTTGAATTGGCTAATTCATTAATAGAAACCTAAGAAGAAAAAAACTTAACAATATTTTCTTCATTTGGTTTGGTAATAAAGTGTACATACTTGACATAATGCTTTAACAAACTCAACAATAGCTTCACCATCAAGTCCTGTAGAACCAGTAAATATACGATCTACAGCAACTACAACACTTTGACTACTTGTTTCTCCTATTGATCCTTTTCCACTAGCTAAATAATCAAATAATTTTATAAGCAAACAATATAAACACATATTAAAAATAAATATGACTTACAATCCAATGTAGTAAAATTTAATTTTTGACTAAGGGCTTCAATAGGCGGATAAGTTTTGCTAATAACTTGAGATAGAAATTGTGGTCTAACTCCAGTGCCCACCATTTGAGCAAGTTCTAATTGTGATATACACTTCATTATATCAAGCCAAGAAGTGCCAAGATAATTTCCATCGGTATATGCAACAGTTATTAAAGTTTTTATTGTTTCAATATTCTTAGCTTTCATTTCAGTCACAGGCGAATTTGCAGTTAATAGAGTAAATCGTGCTAATGCTTGAACGTAAGCATCTCTTTCCAACTGGAAAGAAACAATATTATATTTATTTCAATAACACAAAAGTATTTTACCAAACTTACACTCATGTGAAAAATACAAGCAATTCTAATAGCACAACGAATGCCATCCAAACATAACATAGCTATTTCTAAATCATCACAATCTTGTAAGCCAACACTGAATGCTGCTAAAAACGTGGTCCATGTCATCTGTAGGTTAAATAAAATATGCTTATTCTACATAAATATAATTTAAATGTCTGGTCAAACCTTAAACATTGGTTTAACATGTTCCAAATGCTTAGCCTCAGTAAATGGAGCTCGAACATGACTAACTGATTCCATAAGATTTTTAGCCGCTATTGCTATTGATTCCATTTCCATGTTCCATAATATTTTACGTCTCTTTTCATTTGGTATTGCTAAAAAAGTGTAATAATTTCATTATTAATAATAATACAAAATTATAATTTTATTTTTCTATAAAACATACATTGTTTTCCAGGTTTTACAGTAGTTTTCATTTTAATTTCATGACCAGCAATATCATCATATATCTTACTCAAATATTCTTCAGGTAAATCCTTATTATCTGATATACAACTACCTCTATTCATTTTTATATATTGCTCCTTAGTCATTTTTGTTTTGACTTGTGGTGAATGTAGGTCAGTAGTTAACATAATAATTGAGTAAGAGAGCACATACAATGTATCAGCACTATCAAAGAGTCCATTGCTAAACATTTTTTTAAATATTTATAAGTTTATTTTTTATGACAGTCGATGAATATTTCAATTTAAACAATGATTACTTTGGATTGCACTCAAACCATCTACTAGCAAATTTTTCTAATAGCCTATCGATTTTTTGAGCTTCACCAGGCAAACGAAATCCATCGAGAAAAAATCGCAATGCTGAAACAACATCTTTACCAGCAAAATTAATTTGATCTACAAAATTGTACATAACCTGAAAATATAAATATATATATATATATATATAGAAATTACAATAGAAGTAAATAAATACATACACATAATTATATATATTTTAATACCTCTTTATTAAAATCTTCATTTTCTCCAAGGAAATCTCCAATAGCAGTTTTATCTAGCCTTTCATCGACATGAAACCATTCTGCAACATCCGATGGGCTAGTACCAAGAAGTTTCTGTTCTTGGAGGAAATTTATACCATGTTTAGGCTTACGATTAAACCTAAAGTATATTATTGATTAAAATATGTCTCAAATTAAATTAATTTAAGCTTACATAAGTATGCCAGTCTCCCAGACTTCTTTTTGATGCTTAAGCACTTGTAACTGTTGGGGTACATCTGGAGCTTCTTTATTACCAGAACTATTTGATGTCAAACTGGATTCACTACCATCAAATGAATTAAGACTGTCATGAGTAACAGTAGCTTCATTTGTATCATATTCACGTACATTTTTTTCAGGACCAAGATTGGTCTGGGAATTAGGATTAACATATAAATCTTTGCTCCATTCTACCATGCATTTTAGTATAGACACCAAACATTCAAGTCCACGAATACGCATAGATTTTTCTTGGTTTGGTGTTGCACCTAATTCTACAGCTTGGCGACCTTGTGCTATTTTAAAAAGGTCATCAACCAATCTAAAATAAAATAACAGTTACCATATTTATTAAAATTTACTTTTATAATTTACCTTTGAAAAAGGTTAGCCGCTGATAAATCACAATCATAATTGACATACATATCAACAACACTTTGAGCATCAGCACAAATGCGCGTTAATGCTTGAATAACCATCCATTTGTGTTCAAAAGTTGAACTAGAAGTTTCCAATATATTCAAAAATATTTCTTTAAAAAATACCTAGTACAAAAAAAATTGTTTTGTAACTGATTAATCATATAAATATGGTTTATATTTTTACCTACCTCAATTTGCATTTTCAAATGAGTTTTAAAACGTGATAATAATGACAAAAATATTGCAAGTGAAAGTTCAAAGACTTCAGGTACTGATGAAGTACCATTATTTGATAACGCTACACATAAAAATTGTTTAATTGCCGTGATAAACATTGGATTAGTACGAAATACAGGTCCAGCATTTTGTAGAATTGATAGTAAAAGGTGTAAAGATAGGATTTTTGAACGTAATTCATGGGACCTTAAAAAAATAAATAGTAAGATAAAATAGGTATATTAAATATAAATTTTATTTGTTCTTACTTGGGGTCTGGTGTTCCTTCTGGCAAAGGTTTCATTGATAGCTTACATAAAGATCGAAAAACAAGAAAAGCATCCTTTTGTAATATATGATTAAAAGCTGTTACAGTTTTACATTCAGTTTCATTTGGAGTTTCCAAACTCTCCTATAAAAATATTTTTCATTAATTAATTTCATATTAGATCATTCAGCAATGAATAACTTACTTCAGACATAGATCTTACAATATCTTGTGCTAATTCCTTAGTTTTTATATCACAGTCAAAACTTTGTATAGCAGAATCACATATTTCATTAACAATATCAAAAATAATACTTTCATCTATCACTTCTAGATTACTCGAGTCATCACTATGAACTGTTTCATCAGCTTTACATGACTCAACAATTTCTGGCTCATCTCTAGGAACTTCTGCCTCCATTGCTTGCATTTCCATGCGTGTAAAGATCACATTCAACATTTGAGTTAGAGTCGCACGAGCTGTTGTCTGGTTCACTAAGTTTCTACTAGCTAGATAGATATTGTAACACGTTTTAACCGCTTTTAAAATTGTGGCTTCATGTACTTCAACATGTTGGCTAGTAACTACAGTTAAAAGTGCCTAAAAAAAAATCATAATTTAGTTAACCGAATAAAATAAAATGTAAAATATTTTTACTTTAATGATTTGCAATAAAATGCCTTCGTCAGTCTGTTGTCCTGTAAAACAGTCACAGATTGTTTCGACAATTTTATCAATGAGTGGCTTTCCAGAGTCATTGGTGCAATTTCCTGTCAAATGACCATAGGCAATGAGTTTCTGAAACCAACAATCAGTTTATAAACAAACAGCTAATGTGCTAATTAGACAATTGGACCAACTTGTAAACAATCTAATGATGTAACCACGATTCTGGGCGATTTGCTTTGGCAGGCCAATTCGAATGGCCTAAAGTATTTTTCTGCTGAGATGGCTGAACTGCCATCCTTGGGCAGAGGCAGAGCGGACGAAGCATCTGTCTTCTCCTCGGCTCGACATTCAGATTTTATACTCTCTGCAAAAATCAAACCATGAGATTGGTGGTCGTATGGTATGCGACAGACAGGCGGCTGCAGGTACTCACGCAAGGCGGCTTCGCATTCCTTTCGTAACTCTGCGTGATAGGACTTTTTAATGTCCTTGTCGCCAAGTATCTTCTCCAACGCGCGTATGATGAACATCTCTTTGGCGTTGGACCTCTTGATCATGTTAACTGACCACCACGGGCGAAGGCGACCATCAGTGTCGGCGACGGCTGCCCGAGCTGAACACGACTCACGAGCAAACGCGCGGGTGTTGTTGCCAGCGGCGGGCAATGGATTTTCCACGCGTGAACGGTGATTGAACGCCTAACCGATGTTTGATCAGCAGTTACACGACTACATCGACTCGGTGGTGGTGTTGCATCACCGCGGCGTATTCCAAGCAATACAGTCATTCAAGTTCCAACTGGATGCCCGATAACGGCCGCGACGAGATAACACACGTCTTGGATCGTCGGCGGTGATCCGGGCCGTTAGATAGCGCCACCAGTACGCCGCTCGCCGTTCTCCACGACGAATACAATACAGTTCGTATCACCCATCGTTGGCAGCATAGATAAAAAATTATGCTTGGCAGTGGGTCACGAGCACAGGAATGTGTCGCAACATTTTTTTTTTTTTTTTCAACAACTACAAAAACCAAGATGTCCGAAGAACCGTACAGGTTCGAACAATTTTTCATTTTTTTTTTTTTCGGTCCGTCGCTCGTACGACTTTTGGATTCAAAGAAAAACAATCTCGATGTCGATGCGTCGACATCCTAAAGGTCGGCGGATTACCGGTACCCATAGGCGTGCGCAGTGGCGTGCCGAATATAGGTCTAAATGAAGCCCAGGCATCAAGTTAAAAAGGGGTGGGTGGTTGTTGGATAATAATTTGTAAATCACATAATCATCGTATATATTTAGGTCGAGAAATATTGATATATGAATTCTGAATAAGATGAAATTAAATATGGGTGGATGGGTGGTGATCTAGACTTTGAAATTGGCATCAAAAAAATTTTTATCTCGGCACGCCACTGTACGTGCGCAAACTTTGTCCGCGATGGGAGGGGGGCATGAAAAAGTGGACCGAAGATTCTTGTACTAAAGACTACTAGTATAATTAAATATTTTTAAATTTTATAAATTATTTCTTTAATTCAATATGCAAATATAAAAATAAATACTATTTAAAGTTGCACTATTTATATCTAAGAAATCCTTATTTACATATTATTATACTATTTACAACTCCATCCTTCGGTCCACGGGAGTAAGGTTTTTGAACGTATCAATTACATCTTCAATTTTTATATTATATGCAAGTTCTGATTAGTCTGATTAATAACTAATAACATTATTACATTTATTCACAGATATCAATTCTATACTATAAGATTAAAACTGGCTTTACTTTATTCATGTAAAATGTAACAATTTTCGCTGTCTTGTATAGTATAGATATACATTTATTAAAGAAAAAGCCAGAGTCCGGAGGGGGGGGCCGCGGCCCACTCGGCCACCCCCGTGCGCACGCCAATGTCGGTATCCCTGTCTTATTGCTATTTTCGAAAGATTCCGCGTCGTACGGCCAAAACTGTGCGTGTGCACCGACATAAAATATGCGTGCAATTGTCACGTACTGAACACGAGTGCGTGCGTCGAATCCGTAATCCGAATTTTTATTTGCGATTTTTAAATCACAAGTTATAATTGTGGACTTTTTAATTTTGGAGAGAAAACAAAAACGTCGACTCCTTAAGATGATTTTGCTAAGATGCCGCTGCGGGTCAAGTCGTATGTCGTACAAAGTTGTGTACATCTATGTGCACGGAGGGGCGTCACCAGGGAGGGGGCAACGGGATCGATTTGCCCCGGACCACGGGTCTAGAGAAATTCAAAGGGGGAACCCTCAAAGTCCGGATTGTTTAGAAATACTCGGCGTCGTCCATCATACTATAATTCATTACGGTTATTGCCGTAGTGTGAAGAATAACATGATTCGATAAAAATGTACGTGGAAATTCGCTATCGCAAGTATCGACGCGCCGACGTCCAAGGTCTATGGCCGTTTATAAATTATTTAGGAATAATTTACATTCAAATGAAATCCGGTAACTGGTAATGCATTGTTGAGAAATTATTAAAAACGATTTCATTATACCGACGCATTTAAATGTATATTTGATTAGGTATGGGAAACTATATTTACTAAAATGTTGCAAATGTTGTGTGTATTTTTTTATCGTACCTCCCGCTAAACATTCAACGTAACAAAACATCGCAGCGACGTTTAATTTCTTTTATGTCAGTTACATTGCTCTATAGATGTGTATGAGATGTAGTATAGAGGTGTTACTACATTTTAGTTGACCAAATTACAATTGATTATGGTGATGTGGTTGTGTTGTCAACTGTTTCTCGTAATCATTAATAATAATTTTGTCTTTGAAATAATATTATATGTATATACATATATATAAGTTTATTCTATAATCAATGGTATAATTTTCGAGAAAAAACTCTGAAACCCACCGATAAAGACAGACACGCTATTTGCAATAACACGAACACCCCTCGTTCCTCATCTACCGTCGGTAGACTCATATGGTACATAGTACATATATATACATGTGTATCTGATAAAATGTTTGAAAAAATTTAAATAAATAATTCAAATATAACAGAAAAAACTTTATTGATGAAAGACAAATATTTGATGTTATCAAATGCTAAACTTGTAATTGTAGAATACATTGTAAAACCAACTATTAGAAATCCATTTTCCATTTGTAAAGAATTTTTGGACTTTAAACAATTAACAAATAAACCCTTGCAATCAAGGGCGGATTGGCAATTATTTTCGGCCCAGGAAATATGAAACAAACCGGCCCATGAACCGCATATTAAACTATTTTACCCCTACCCCCTCCCAAAAAAAAAAATGCTTTATTTTGCATCCATTTCAAAATTTGTTTAGTTTCACTCCTAAATTAGTAAAATCTACAATAACTTTATTATAATTATAGCTATAATAGTTTTGGGTAAGTCACATGATTAATTAGTTCCAACTTGAACTTGAAGTTTGATCTTAATGCATCTTTAAATATATATTTATTTTTTAATGATTTTTATTTATTTTACAAAATAAAATTTTTTTTTGGTAATAATATAATAATATAGAGCGGCCCAAACAAGGACCGGCCCATCGGGAAGATTCCCGATTTCCCGATAGGCCAATCCGCCCCTGCTTGCATTCGAAAGTTATCAGAATATTTATTGTTAACACAGAAAAATTATCAAATATCTTTTTGCTAAAATATGTGATATTAAATATAAGTATCTGTTTATTCAAACTACCACTACGTCTGCAGTTTTTACAACTATGTCATACCTAATTAATTAATTTCTAAACAATTTAAAAAAATTACTAAGTATCTAAAATATAGGTAATTATATAACTAGTTATAAGTAACTAGGTATGAAAGTGTAAATTATTAGTTTTTATTATTTATTACAATATAAAAAACAATGGTTCATGAATCACAATAATTTAAAAAAAATAATATTTTGTTCATTTAGATAGCCCGATTTTGATAATAAAAATAATTTAGTAGCAATAATTTTATAATAGATTTATAATCTATTATAAAATCAATGATAGTAGGTAGGTAGTTGAGTAGAATTAGGCACAGGTCTCTAAATCACTAGACAAGGCCGCAAGAGTTCGAATTTCAGATATGAAACCAAAATTGTGCGTTTATTTTTTCTCGTTTTATGATGAAAAACATATATCCGTAAAGTTGCAAAATAACAGATATTCTACATTTTTATGAAGTATACTAATTACCGGTATCAATACTACCATTTACAGTACTGTAGTATAAATCCGCTTTTAAAGTTAAGTTATAAGTATTAGCACATTTGCTATTGCATTTAATTTAATATGGATTACAAATTTTAAAAAAAATCTTCTTTAGGTAGCAACGTACACAATTTATTTTTACATCGCATTGATATAATAATTACATATAATTGCAAAGTGGGTCGTATATCATTATGATGATTTATATGTGCCCCCAAATTAATTCGCCCCAGGCCCTAAGAATCCTTAAGACGGCTCTGGCCACAGCTGTAGAACAGTCGCGTGACCTTTGTTGGGTTGAACCATGTAATTTTGACCAATATAATTTCAAATACGGCTAAAATTGCATTTCTCCCATCAGAATTAAGCAAACGTCTCGCTTTGAATTGAAAAAAAAAGACACGGCGTTTCGAGTTTACCAATTATCAGCCAATCCAGTGATTTCAATATATGTCTTCGCCGAATCGACGCTGCATGCTGTTCGTTCGACAACCGCCGGTCACCAACTGGTTCCGGAAAAATAACACATAGGCTGTAGAAGGTTATGGTGTAATCATGTGTGTCACAAAATCAATATGATGAAACCTGCTGGTGAAGGCCATCGCTAAGGAAAGTCGAAGGCCATCGCGAACAGTCGACCGCGAAGTGTGTTATTAAAAGTAAATTGTTTTTATTTATTAAACAAATAAACATTTTTCTCCACTCATATTTGTCACCCTGTTTCGGTAGATTGCACAGGCGCAACTTGTAAGCATCCTCTGCAGACTAAAAACTTCCAATACAACGTGAAAAAGTTGTTTCTTCTTTTCATTTGAGTTTTTATTTTACGTTTATTTTCAATGAGACAGTTACATATAGTTATACCATTTGTACCAATAACATTATACGTTTAAGTTCTAAAGAAAACATGAAGTTTCAACAATGTAGCGTAACATAACACAAAATGGTTGATGTGGTATTGGAACCAAATTTCTTAATATTAAATAAGGTCGAACTTTTAATGTTTGAAAGCATTTTTCGGGTCTCTTACGAACCCGGCATTGGTAGTGGAAATTACTAAATGTCTGATACGACCGACCTTCATACAAAACGTTTGTATTGAAGCGAAAACAATAGCGACTTTTGAAAGCAATCAAATCGAAAACGAATTCACGCTATATTTGCTTGTTAAATATTTGGCATCGAAAATGCATACTGTTCACAATGGACTTTAGACTTCCGGCTAACCAGTAAATTCTTAGTATATTTATTCTATCGCAATCCAGGGATTTGTGAAAACGGTTATTTTAACTTAACATAAAAAAAAAAAATTAAAAAAATCGTGTACACAAATAACAGATATATGATTATATATTATCATTAAATATATTTTTCAATGTTTTCTTATCTTTAGAAGATTTTTTTTTCGATTAAATACCTTATATTGGGTTTTTAAATACTAACTATAATTGATTAACATTTAAAACCTCACCTACTTTGTTCTATATCCACGAACAGCGTTCGGTGTGCCTAATTCAAAAAATGTACACTGACAACGTATGATTCAAGACGGACACAGTTATGCACGGTACACCGAATGGAACGAAAACTCTATTTTTACTCCACCTGATAATTGTCTCTATTTACATGAATAATTTGATAATCAAGTATCTATATCCAGTGCGGTAGCAACCAAATATTGCGCCGGAGGGGTAAACTTCAAAATGCGCCCAATGTGTTTTCAATTTAAATATATTATAAGTATCAGATATTATTTTCAAGAATTGCTTCAATTAATATGTATAAACAACGTTGAAGTTTTCATAAATAAAATGTACAACATTGATCGTTGTAATTTTTATCATAAAATGCAAATTTATCATTTTTGCGCCCGGGGCGTAGATACCTCTTGCCAACTTCTAGCTATAGCTCTGCTTATATCTGGGTATCTCACTATTTAATAATAATTAACGAAGACGTGATAAAATGTATTAATATTTGTCTCTGCCAAGTAAACTAAACTCAGATTAATACTTTTATTCAAATCAGTAAATTTACCAGATTTATTTTTTTTTATTGCATCTTGTCGGGATAACTAATTCATGATTTTTTTGATTTTTTTTTTTTTTACACGCAGTTAGCGTCTTGGTGGATTGTCTTTTGGAGTATAAGAAAATAACGTGACTCAAAATAAATATCTATCACTTGATGATTCATATTGAATCACGTTATAATACATTATTGAATAATTTTTTTTTTTCATGAATAAGTCATGTTTTAAGTATTATAATTAGTATTTATGAATGCAATTAACTATGGTTATTTTGTTGTTATTTGTTAGGAATCACTAAAACTTAGTTTCATGAATAATTCAGAATTTTTAACAAAGAAAATTAGGCCAGATGGTAATATGGTACCCATAAACGGTCATACGCAATAATGCTATAAAAGTGTTAGTATATAATATAAAGCAACAGATTTTGGTGATTATTGGAGTTAGTAATAGCATTGGTTGTAGAATCAATGGTAATAGTTACAAATTAAACATTTTTATCGTAAATCGATCTGACGTTACATGCGTAAATACAAACAATATTATTGTATTTCTTTTGTCATCTTTAATACACATTACTCCAAAACATAATCGCACTCATTTACTTATTTAATAATAATGTAATATTATTTGTAAAATGTAATCATTGTAGACAATGGTTAAAATTGTGAAAATGTCGAGGGGGGACTATAATCACCAAAAATGGTAAAGGAACGTTCCCTTACCAAAGTCTAAATCTTATCAAACTCTTTTAGGTAGTCCATAAGACAAGACTTCTATAATTTTTTTATTTTACACAAATTTGTTTATAAAACGTTTTATAAGGTGTAAAATCTAAATATCAGTTTCCTCCAAAAAAAAAAAACTAGCCTCAACATATTATTCCAGGTCAGTAAAAATAAATTGTAATATATGGTCTAAAGTGTTGTGGTGTTGTATTTTATAGTCTTATTAGAAGTTATAAACATGTAAGCAATTAATTAAATTTATCCGAGCATAACAAAAACATTTTTTTTTTTTTTAGAATTGATATTCATATTTTAATAGTGCATATACCCATAGATATATCTACCAGTACAACACTGCAAAACAGTTATATTATATCATAGAATTGTGTTTTTATACAATTATATCATAAACGGCTATACGCCTATACCTACATACAGTGGCGGTTATCCTATGCTTCAAGTTTATCGACGGATACATACGATTCTGATGGGTGGGTGAGTAGGTGCTTACAGTGTGTTTGAATGGATGTGTACATAATACATATACAACATTTTATAAAAATGTTCTTGCATACGAAAAAAATTACTTTTGTTGGTTAGTGGGTGTTCACAGATTTCAGTTATTTGCATACCTACACATGGTAAATTAACTGTAGCTACCACTGCCTACATACTCTACAAAAAATGAAAAAAAAATAGTCAGACAACTAAATATATTTTTGTTATTGACAAAAAACAAAAAATATTAAAAATATATTAGGTACAAGTGTACAGTGATTCCATGTTGATTTTTCCTCATTTGTTAACATTAAAGTTAATAAAATCTATTTAATACCAATATAACCGAAGGAATTGAAATATTTTCTATTTATATATATGTATGTATTATGTTTACTTATTTTTAGTCACTCGTGATTCATCAATCTGTTTAGGTAGGGACGGTAGAATTAAATGATTAAAGTATGTGCATTTGGACAAACGAAGGGATCCGTGTTGATTAATTGCACCAATTAAATTTTACTTAACCCCTCTCCAAAGCCAAAAAAAATATTATTTATTTATTGTTTCATAAATTTTTTTTTTTATTGTTTTTTATTGTAGGTACATTATGAATCTAAAAATATATCAATTTAAGTTATGTTCACTATGAAATACATATTCGTAAGAATACAAATTTATAATTCATTAATAAAACTATTTCACTGTAAATTGCACAAGATGTAAAAAACAATATTTATAATAATTAATAATCTATTTGACTGCTTATTTTAATTAAAAGTATGTTTTATAAGTAGTAAGGTTAAGTTATAGTTATATGTTTTATTATTAGGGGGGAAGGGGTAATTTTTCAAAAGAATTTTTCACTTGAGACTAAATTTGAATACCTACATTGTACATTTGTAAGTACGCTATATAAGGTTCCTATATCTAATCTATGTTTGCACTAATGGTACATCACACAACACATGTTTAGTACACATATTAGTAAAATACTAACAATGTTAGACAATTGTCTAACATGTATCTATAATGTACCATTTGTGCAAACATAAATTAGCAATAGTAGGTATGTTATATACCATACGCACAAATGTACAATGTTTAATGGGCGGATTCTTGAGAAAATTGTAAATTTAATTTATATTGCTACAATGACTGTCAGTGAATACGAAACAACATTGACCTAATAAAATAAGTAGTTAATAAGTATACACATATATTGTACACACAAGGGATTTGGGATTATTGGGATACATAACCCGTATAGCTTGATGACAAATCAACAGCAGATTAAATTTAACTTACATATAGTAATAATGAAATTAAATTAGAATAAAACTATGAAGATATGTAACATAGGTATACAAATTTAAATATAATAATATCACGAAAAATGTATAACATCTAACTAAGGATTAGGGATGATTTAGTAGGGAACTGAACTGACATCATACAATTATGCATTAGCTGGTGATCAATGAATAAGTGAAAATAAAATAAAGTTGACTAATTATGAAACTATTTTCCTTTCCTTTACTGAAATAAATATTATACGCTGGCTAGGATGGCTTATGTTCAAATACAGTTTCTTGCACTAATTCTTACCCTACACGTGGATTGGATTCAACATTTACGCAGTTGATCTCAGTAGACATAAATAGGCAAAAGTTGCCGGAGTATAAGCAAGTATATTTATACATTTAAGATTGCTAAATGGTAAATTTTATAAAATGTATCTATTCCATAATATCTTGTCGATTACATGTTAAGAAACAGAATTTCATGTTGCCAGATTCTTGGATGATCACCCATCCAAGGACTAGTGATAAGAGAAAGTGGCTAATGACTGATTTAACATGCTATACTATATAATTTAATGCATTACTTATAGTTTATGGTAATTATTACTTTTCGCATACTATTTTTATTTTTTTATTAAACATTTTTTCTTCAACTACAGTCTTCAAATATAATTTAATTTTGCATTTAACTATAAAATCCTTATGATATTATAAAGACTTGAATTCCAAAAGTTATATTATACTGTTCATATTTACTGCTAAAAATATAAATGACTTTGTTCATTAATTATTTTTACTAATTTAACTATATGATTACATGGTAAATTATACTACTATCAACAACAAATTAAATTTGGTTAATTAATTATTTAAATTACTTAGATTTTGTACTCATAGTGTGAAATCCCCAGTATAATAATCAGATAATTGAAAAGAACATACCTAATAAATTTTTTACTTCAACCATTTAAGTGACACCAAATAGTATAAAGCAGAGGTGGCCAAACTTTTTTCAGCCATGATTTACTGAAAATATAATTCACCTTTGGACATCGACTTCCTTGGAAATTTTTTTTTATAAATCAGAATAAAAGATAAAAACTTTATAGGTAAAACATATCGACAATTTGTTTATAACCATCACGATTAATTTTTGTGTACGTGGCCTAAAAATAAATTCTGACATGATCAACTCTGAAATTGTGCGTGATTGACCCTTTCGCCTGGTATAAAGTGTTAAAACAATAACAACTGGTAATACGTATATATGTATTAGTAAATTAAATTTAGATCATTTTAAAATGAATACTTAAATAATGTAGTACACACACAACTATAAAATTTGCATAATTTGTATTTCATAACACAATTATAATAATAATATAATACATATAATCAATAAAAAAATAGTAGTACATTAAAAATATTTCAAATGAAAACTAAAAAAAAAAAAATTAAAATTAACTTATGAATCTAATATTGTAAATATTTGTTTTCATTATAATATTAATTGTACTTGAACAGAAAATATTAACAAACAGTTGTGTCTTTTAAAGACTTACATGAATAAATAGTTCAATGGTAACACAAATTCTTAAAAATAATAATGAGTGTGTATAGAAAATATACTTAAAAATTAATTACCTTAAATTAAATATTAAAATCATTTGTAAATAAAATAATTAATGTTAAATTATACAAATTGTTTTATTTTAGTTTTCAAATTAATAATATAGAAAAATTAAGATTGAACAAAAATAAATAAGTATGAAAGTATAGGAAGTTTTGATATATTACATTATCACAGAAGTAGATGCTTAGAGGTTAATCTTGATGGCAGCACGCAAATGATCCATTATGACCATGATGCACACAATACTCAGTTGCGTCATTGTTGATGATGAAAACCTGGTAAGTCAGCTAAAGTTGGTATGAAAACATGTCTGGATTCATCAATGGTACCTCGACATAGTGGGCAAGTTTCACAACGTTTGACACATGTCCCACATGCAATAACATGACCGCATGGAAAAAATACATGATCAATAGTAGCATCCATACAAATTTGACATGTAAGTGCATCAATAAGTTTGGCAAGTTTATAGCTATCCTGTGAAGTATTTGGCTTAGGTTCAGGCGGATTCAAAACTATAGTAGAACTGGTTGGAGTGACTTTATTTTGCTTTTCATAAAGTGCACGACGTGCATTATCATGCACTTCACGACAAGTCCTCTGAATGTCAAATACATATTTCTTCCCAAGTGGTGAATCTTCATTAAAAATAGATATAATTGTACCCTGAAAAAAAATTAAAAACATTTATAAGGGTTCAAAACCTTTAAAATTCATAACAGTAAACAATTATAGGTCAATTGTATGTAGATGAGTACATGAATATTTGAATGTACATATGAATTAATCATTATTTAAATTAAAATGTAAGCAATAAAAATGAATAAAATTTAGGTTAACAACTTTTTTTGATACAGAATTTCTTTTTAAAAGTTCACATTAACACTGTTCAACTTCAAAGTTAAAATTTAATATTTACCTTGAGATCTCTTATATATTGTGAAGTAACAGCACCTCTAACAGTTTCACAACTATAGAATGCATGTTTCTCTGTCAATGCTCTGTATAGAGTATTTGCACCTAGACTAGATTCTAATTTCAAAACAATTAATGTTTCGGAATGCTCAACTCCTGCCAAATACCACATCTCAAATACACGACGATGGCTAGCTGCGCTACGGATCGCCGTATAAGGAATCCTAAAAAATAATACAGTATAATATAAATATTTTTTTTTTTAAATTATAAAAAGTTTTTGTATAGTAGTGCCAAATAAAGTTATTTTGAATAATATTTTAAAATTAATACACTCAATTACAATACTTACATTTGTTTTTCATCATCCAATTGATCAGGGTGTTCCAAACTAATACCATGTGGACCAACTCCTATCAATACTGAAGAACCATTTGATGTTTTACCTTCAAACACCTCTTCACCAAAATTTTGCAAGCCAGAAACTTCTTTGATCAACCAATATTCAGCAGTTGTTTGTTTCATATCCTTGAAAGATAACATATAAATATGAATACAAATATACAATGAAAACAGTAAAAATTAAATTACACATACTTTCATTTCAGATTGAAAAGCTTTAATCTGACCAATAGATTTGCTGTCATTCGCTGGAACACCCAGATGTTCACACCAATAGGCATAAAACTGCATAAGAGCAACCAAATCATTACAATTGCCGAATTCAGCCTGTGCCAGTAATGCAATAATTTTGCATATTGCTTGGCTATCGGTTGGTCTCAAACGTCCTTCGTATAACTCTAACTTTGCGTGCAAATAAAATTGATGACTATAACAAAATAACAATAAAAATGTATTTATTGGAAAAATGCATTAATTTTTAAAGCATAAATTATTATTTAATTAAATTACAAGATAATTTTATTCTTATTGACTACTAACGTTATTACTTAAGATAAAAACTTGTATTGAAAATAAGTCTCAAGACTGAATACATAAAATAAAACCTACATTTAATGTCGATACCAATAAATAATAATACCAATTGGCTCGATCTGTGGCAATAGAAATAAATGATATTGAATAGAAAATTATACGATAATTAAATATTATTGAAACGTCTTGTTACGTTTCGATTTCAAACTGATATAATAAGCAAACATTCCAATCATTAAGTACAAACATTTATAATATGTTCACAATAATTATGGTCTTTATTCGAGACAAGAATTAGCAATATAATGGTAATAGATACGAATCGTAATCATAATTCATAAAATTGACCGAAACGTTCTAATTTACACACGGGTTAATTTATAAGATAATAAATCATCAAACGGTTGGGGTCAACCTTTTTATTTCCAGTGGCCTCAATGATATTAAATTACGAAGAATGTCTGTGAATTAAAAATATAAAAACTCGATAAAAATCTTAAATGCGGCGAGGTGGCAAACAGACTGTAGAGACTAGAGAAAATAATACACATGGTGTTGATAACAGGTAGGTGGCCAATTAATAGAACAAAATATAATATATATAATTCAATTTTAATAAATGAATAGTAAAAAACATGCAGTTCAAGGATAAACTTTTGGTGATAAATATCTTTAGAAAATATATATTAAGGCCCATGATAAACAAAATAAAAATATTTTTTACTATTCAAAACTAGCCATTATTAATAAAAAATAATTCGGTTAGAGTAGTATAATGTTAAGCAATAATTATATGATTCTACTACTTAAATTATAACAGTTACATCATTTTCTCGTAGGTTATATATCCTCATTGACACTAAAAATCCAAATAGATTTGATAAAATTCCTTAGTTATACATATGAAAATCATTAGAGTGACACAATAATAAAAATCCGAATTTGAATATTCTCATTAAGGAAAAATTAATATCGTGTTTTATAAATAAAAATAATTATTTGATTATTAGAAACACTAAAAACATGGGGGGGGTCATGGGATATCCGATATTTAATTTGGCAATTATATACGTAGAATTGGATATTATTAAGTTTTTTTTTTAATCTTTTGTTGGACGTTTTTTAAATTTAAAATTATAATATCCCATATCATTCTTTTGTTTTGTAATACTCATAAAATTCGTATTTTAATTAGGTTCACACAATATACAATTACGTCACACTAGAAAACCAAAATATTCTTAGTATGAATATTGAATATAAATCAGTAATACTAAAAATAATTTTAAGTTACTCAAATATTCAAATTGTTTTAAGTTTTAATTTCAAACTCCTTGAAAATCTTATACAGCCCTTAATTTACTATTTTATTAATCAATACAATTTTGGGCTCCTATCGTTTAACTATTTTTCATTTAATGCTAAAATAAAATTCTTTTTTCTTTACAATCGTTTTATTAGTTTGTTACAAATCTCTATATATCTCTATCGTTACTCAATTATTTTAACTCTTTATAGCTATTCTTTCCTATGTCTATCATAATTTGGTTCATACACTCCATCTTTAGTATTCTTCTTCCGATATGACCAGTGACGTAGCAAGGGTATGGTAAACTGTGACTATGCCGGGAGTAAAATTATAAAGGGAAGCAAAATTGTGCAAAATTCGTATTTTTATTCAACCTTCAAAACGAAATTTTTTATTATATATTTTGAAATGTGTAGATTTTGTCGAATTGTTCACACTACTTGTAAATTTAATGATTAAATTATGAAAAGAATACAAGGAAATTCATAGAGAAAATTTTATATAAAAAAATAGATTGTACTTAAAAAAATTAGTAAATTTAAAGGTTAAAAAAAAAAGTCGTATTAAATTTTAAATTGGTAAAAAGGCGTTTTTTCTAAGTTTACAAAATATGACCTTCAATTTCGTTTCGACTGTATATTTTACTGTATATTATAATCTGTATATTTTGTCATCATATTTACTTATTGTGCTTCACTAGCATAGATTGTTTATATCTAATAATTTTTTTTTTTTTTTTTTAAAAAAATATCGTTTTCCGATAAATTTTTAATAATGGTGTCATATATGTCCAATCATTTTGTGGCTTTGAACTTTTATTGTATACCAAAGTACTTTATTTTCCTTTGTTCTACCTAGTACAGCTTCATTCATTGTTCTTTTAATTAATCTAAACTTTAAAATTTTACAATAACACCACATTTCGAAGGCCTCTAGTTTTCTTTTCTCTACTGTATCGACTATCTAAGTTTCACAGTCATGTAAAACAATACTCCAGATATACATTTTTAAGAACTTCTCTCTTACCTCTAAGACAACACTATTAGTAGTTTATAAATATTTTTTATTCTGAAAAGCCCTCTTTCATTGTGCTATTATATTTAGAAAGTCATTTTTACACCGACCATCTTCCGTTATTTTACTTCCCAAGTAATCAAAGTGATGTACTTGTTCTATGCGTGTGTTATCTATATTTATAAAAGCTGAATAGGTTTTATCCTACTCCACACTATAACCTTTATATTTTTTTTATTTAATTGCATTCCATATTTTTTCAAATACATATTTTGTTTAAATTAAATAAAATGTTTTGCAGGTCATCCTCCATTTTCGTACAAAAAGCTATGTCATTAGCAAATTTTAGTTAAATGTTTCCCCATATATTCTAATTCCTTGCTTTACTTGTATCCTTAATTCTTTTATAATTTCTTCAATAAATAGATTAAACATTATTAGTGATAGGTTACAGCCTTGCCTTCTCTTTTTAATTTATGCTACTTCTTTTTTTCCATCTTTGCGTAATAATAGTTTGGTTTTTGTATGAATTATAGATACATCTTCTGTCATAATACTTAATTCTAATTATTTTTAAAATCATGATTATTGAGTTTACAAAAAAAAAAAAAACTGTTGGATTAGGTTAGGTTAGGTTAGGTTTCAATGGGCCTTGTCAAAATTTATAATGAAGTGAACAAATCAAAAATAAAATATATTTTTAAATTTTTTTAACAATTTGTATAGGTACCTACTTGATTTTAATAATATTTATACAAAATAAGTATTTTAAAGTCAAATTTTATACACAAAAATTTTCTTGCATTCTGCTCTGAAAATTCATCAATAACATCGAAAAATTGCTCTGATACCACTTAAGATGGATAATATTCCCAAAACTGATGGACTGAACCAACTCTTCCAACATTTTTAACTCAAGAATCTCATTCGTAATTGTTAATACTTAATTACTTTAATAATGTATACAGTTGAATTGATTCATTCAAAAATTAAACTTACGATATCATGATTAATTAAACCATAAATGTATTAGAAATCTAAACAATAATTATTATTTATTGTTTTTTTTTGTCGTTAATAATAATGATATTAACCTCAACAGTATTTAAAATTTGATAGTAACTTTAATTGACAAATGTGTACATACGCTCATATATCAAAAACAAAACTATTAAATGAACTATTAAATATGTACCCATTAAATAATGGCATAAATAAATGGAACTCGAAAAAATTACACATGAACAATAAAAATGTATCATTGGTTTGTAAATAATTGGTGGTTTAAATTAGGCCAATTTAAACTGTATTTTTTCCATGAATATACACTACATAATTCGACCTTAGTTCACGAGTATGACCATGAAACAATTTGTATTCGTTTGAAACCCGTACATACGGATACTAAAATATCATCGATAATAAACAAACGAGTACAATATAAAAAGTTTCGTAAACTTTTTCCACAATTTAAAAATTAAAAACTTTATTAATAGATTATTAAACAATTATTATATTGGAAAATTATTTTTATTCTTATATGAAATAAAACCTAAAGGCCCATTTTAGTAAACAGTTTGAAATAATTTGAGGACAGAGTTGTGAATAAATGGCACGTGATTATAAGAATAGATCATAATGCCAACAACCGTAAATGGATTTTATTTTTGCTTTCATTTGATAACTTAAATGTTGAATAATTACCAATCAAAATTAAACTTAATTTAAATCCAATACTAATAAGCCATCCAGGTAGTATAAGTGGTTAAGAGAAATAATGCGTAATAAACCAGTATTATCATGATAATATATGGTTAACTCAATAATATATGTTATAGAAAACACAATACAATAAATTAATTTAACAAGTATCTAATGACAATATTTTAATTATTTTTAATATTGGGCAGATTCCTTCGAAGTGAAGTTACTTATAATAATACTACAATTTATAAGTTATTACTACTTAAATATAGTTTGCAATTCAATATACGTAATTCGCAACAGTACAAATCGATATTTGATAAAACATCAATAATTTAAAGGTGCAAAGAAATATACATATATTCGTATGTAAAAGGTGATTCTAATTGTATTCCTGAAATTAAAATATCGATTTGAAATAGTTTCCATCTTCTACATTTTTTTTAAAGAAAATTACCATGTTTATTTATTTTCAACTTTACTCCTATATGCTGTGTATACTCTTATATGTGTAATTCATATGGTAAAAAATTAAGTCTTAATATTCATCGAGAGAAATTAATTAAGCACCTTTTAAAGGTATAATATAGATTAATACTGCGAATAATTTTCTGTAAATTTCCAGGCATTACGATTAATAAATTAAATTTCGTGCAAACTAATTTTAAAGTGCCCTTTTCAGACCTTTTTTGACAATATTATCAACAAATCGTCATGATAAATTTACATAATTGCATAATTTAATATTATTCTATAACTCACGCCTAACAAATTTTTTTTAATAACGTTTAATTAAATGTGATTCAAATGTGTAGGTTCATAAAAAGATGTAAGATACGATAAAAATTATAAATTAAAAATGATTT